GAAGAGAGAGAGAGAGCGCAGAGATAGAGAGAGAGAAAGAGAGAGAGGAGAGAGAGAGAGAGAGGAGAGAGAAGGACGAGAGAGAGGAGAGAGGAGAGAGAGAAGACGAGAGAGAGAGAGACTAAGCACGGAGCGCTTACAGAACAGCAACGATTTCAATCATACGGTAGTATGAATGAGCGACGCACAAAATGCTACCGACTTACAAAGATTCGACAGGGATAATCTAGATGCCTCTACTGCGCAAGCCAGATGCTGCTATCTCACGCGCTAGCCAATGATCCCGCGTCTAAATTAGAATCAGTGCAGTTTGTGTGTGCTTCCAAATTTGTACAACTAAATAATTGGCTGTCAATTAAAACCGCGGACAGTAGTACCAACACGCACCGCTCGTACTTCATGAGACCCGTGAAGAATATGATGAAACATGTGTGAGGCACATAGCGCGCCACGGCCAGGTAACGTAGCATCAAGGAGTTAATATAATACTGGGGCAGCATAAGGTCGGGTAAAAAATCAATAGTAAATAATTTGGGGAGAGAGAATAGCACTAAATAATAGGGTGAATGTAGAGGACCGGGAAATTATTTTTCTCCTGTAGCCACAAGCATGGTATTGAGGATAATATGAAAAAGAGAACATAACAGATATATACTACAATATTGATATAAATTCATAGGGATGAAATACAGCACAGCGAAAAGGACATTCATTACACTTACAGTACGAAATATTTTTAATTATATGAATACTTGGACAGCTATAAAAAAACATTATCGTTGGTATATATGGCAAATGGATTTTGTTTCATAATACGATTTTTTGTTTTATGGCTGATTTTATCACCATATAACATTCGCCGATCGAAATAAGGAAGAAGGGACGAGGTATATGAGGGAGAAGGTGTACAGGAGGAAGGAGAGAAGTAAGAGGACGATGGGAGAAGGTAGTGAGGAAAGGGAGGAGGGAAAGGGGTGGATGGTAGAAGAGGTAAGGATCGAGGAAAAGGTAGAAAGGGACAGGAAGGAGGTAGACAAAAGAAGTAGCAGGTAAGGAGGTCGATGGAGGGTAGTGGTCGATGAGGAGGGTAAAGTGGTGGGGAAGAAGTCAGTGGAGGGGGAGAAGGCAGGGGGAGGAGGAGGGTAAGAAGGTGTGTGGGGAGGAGTTAGAGGGAAAGAATGTGGTGGAGGACGGATAGTTTGGGAATAGGGAGAGAGGAGGTAGTGAAGGGAGAAGGTAGAAGTAGGGAGGTCGAGGATGCGTGGGCAGAAGGTGGAGGGGGGTAGATGGAGAAGGAGAAGGTAGAGGAGTAGATAGAGGATAGTGGGAGAAGACGGAGGAGGTAGAGAGGGGGAAGAAAGTGTGGGAAGGAGGGAGAAGAAGTAGAAGAGGGGGAGAAGCTGTGAGATGGAGGAGAGGAAATGGGGAGATAGGGACGAGAGAAGTAGTAGAGGGGAGAGAGGTAGAAGAGGAAGGAGGTCGAGGATGGTGGGAGAGGTGGAAGAGGTAGAAGAGTAGGAGAAGGTAGAGGATGGTGGAGAAGACGGAGGAGGGTAGAAGGAGGGGGAGAAAGTGGTGGAGAAGGAGGGGAGAGGTCGAGGAGAGGGACGAAGTAAGAGATGGTGGGAGCAGACTGAGGAGGTAGAAGAAGGGGAGATGGTGTGAGAAGGAATGGGAGGAGAGGTAGAGAGAGGGAGAATGTGGTGGAGAAAGACGATGGTGGGAGATAAGGAGAGAGAGGAGGTAGAGGAGGGGGAGAAGATAGAAGAGGGAGGATGTAGAGGACGGTGGAGGAGTAGAAGAGAGTGGTAGAATGTGGAGAAGAAGAGGAGGAGGGAGAAGAAGGGGGGAGGAGGTGTTTGGGAAGGAGAAGGGGAGAAGGGGGAGGGTAGAGGAGGTGGCGGAGGAGGGGGAAGAGTGGTGAGGGAGGATGGAGGGGGTCGAGTGGTAAGTGAGTGAGTGAGAGGGAGGGAGGTAGGGATCTTAGGGTGGTGAGTGAGTGAGTGGCAGGGAGGGAAGGGGGAGGGAGAGAGCGATCAGGCGTCTTGTGCTTACCGGCCCGGCCCAGAATGCACAATAAATTGTAAGCAGGCAAATCCCACACGCCAGGGAAGTGATGGCGTGCGGAACGCAACCGGTGTCAGGGGGAATGTACAAACAGAGTCGGGAAGGTCAAGCGTCAGCGGTCGGCCGCCAGATCAAAGTGAGCCGTGGCTCGGGACAGAGCCGGCCAGCCGGAAAGCACGGTAATCCGTGAATCGAATGATTCAATTCACGGATCGAATCATTCGATTCGCGTCATTTGCGGATCGAATGGTTTGATTCTTCTTCTGATATAAAATCAAATAATGTGAACATTTAAAACAGGGAATTATTGTCGATTTATTGTATATAACATATGATAAATAATCAAATATTATATGCCGATAAATCAAATGTTATATGTGATAATTCAACCATAAAACAAAAATGCGAATTATGAAACAAAAAACATGCTATAGGTATATTGTTTGATAGAAGCATCAATAATACGGCCCGTACAGAACGAGTAAGCCATCTATTGATGAATGTATACCTTGCTGCCTCTCATATTCAATATATTCAAAAAAAATGGGTTGAAACATGGAAATGACTCAAATATGAGTTAGGTTCACAGGGAGTTTCGAATTAGCACATGCCAATCAGCATTTGAAGTAGTGTCAAACATGCACTGTCAACGGTGGCACCCCTGCTACAAAGAATTTACCAGTTTCCATAATCAGTGAGGCAGTATGGAATATACACGGACATGTATTATAGCAACGCTGCTAGACAGTACTGTATACAATATGAACATAATAGGAACTATGCGAAAAATATAGGAAAAGTGGCCTGCCTATTCTACACTGCACACCCCCGTGTGAAACATAAACTGCCATTGTTCGTTAATTCTAGCTAATACGTACACGGTTTTTACACTCTCTCCTCTACTACCACCAGCGGGGATGTGTAAATAATATGACTTCGATCAATTTACCTTTATTCATAGCATGCTTAAAAATTTGCAAAAAAATACATACTTAGAGTAAACACAATATAGACACAAGGGGGTCATCCCTATACACCGAAGGTCGATAGACCCCGAATATTGCAAAGGGTTAGGCGTAGGGTTAGGTCAGGGTTAGGGTTAGGTTATGTTATAGTTATGGTTAGGGTTAAGGTAGAAGTTAAGGTTACGGGTTTATAGTGGCAGTCGGTGGATGTGTCGCGGCATATTCACGTTCGAATACGGCATCAGTGGAATGTCCGGATGCGTAGCCTGGAGGCTAGGCGACGATTCCGGACGTGTAGCCACTGCGTATTCGAATAAACCTTCGGTCTATCGCGCCCTTCGTCTATCGGACCTTCGGTTTATAGGGCTGTAACCATACACAAGAATCTAACAAAGTCTAGTAAAGCGCTAGTAATCAGTGAACGTAACATAATGTTTGTTCAATGGCAGCTGGCCACACCTTTCAGAGCAGACTACATATCCATCGATCCGCTTGGCACTTTTTCCTTATATTTCTTCAAAGGCCAACTAGAAAGAAAAACAAGATAAATAAATAATTGTGAAATGCCAGTGAACCATAATTATGGTGGGTAAAATAATAGTAAGTGCACAGACAATCAAGCCATCGCCTGCTACTGTACGATTTAGCCATCAGCCGACAATAGAGCACTGCCAGACAGGTTGCACTCACCAGAATACTCTCTCTGTGCGTCTAACAGTAGACAGCACTGTGCGCGTGAGAAGCGTTCATCAACTGCCTCGGTCATCAGCCATGTCACATGCTATGGCCTTGCTCTAAAAATATCGATAAAACATAATAAGTTATTGCTAAAAATTGCATTGCGCGTCCCTCAGTTGAATGAATGAAACACAATGAATCAAAACGTTATAGCTACTCCTACATGCGTTGGTACAAGTAATTGTTAAGCATCTGAAGTGAGAAGGATACGGAGAGAGATACAGGGAGGGAGAGAGGGTGGAGAGAGAGAGAGAGAGAGAAGAGAGAGAGAGCGAGAGAGAGAGAGAGAGAGAGAGAGAGAGAGAAGAGAGAGAGCGAGAGAGCGCGAGAGAGCGAGAGAGAGAGAGAGAGAGAGAGAGAGAGAGAGAGAGAGAGAGAGAGAGAGAGAAAGACGTAGGTATTTAGGGAGGATGGAGGAGGAGAGAGGCAGGAAAGAGGAAGGAGAGAGGAAGAGGGACAGATAGAGAGGAGGGCGAGTGAGGGTGGAAGGAGAAATAGGGGGGGAGAGGGAGAGACACAGAGAGAGAGAGAGAGAGAGAGAGACCGAGACGCGAGAGAGAGAGACAGAGAGACAGAGAGAGAGAGAGTGAGAAAGAGAGAGAGAGAGAGAGACGAGAGAGAGAGATAAGAGAGAGAGAGAGAGAGAAACGAGAGAGAGAGAGAGAGAGAGAGAGAGGAGAGACGAGAGAGAGAAGAGAGAGAGAGAGAGAGAAGAGAGAGAGCGTGTGTGCGCGCGTGCATGCAGCGTGTGTGCGCGCGTGCATGCTGCGTGTGTGCGGGCGTGCATGCTGCGTGTGTGCGCGTGCATGCTGCGTGTGTGTGCGCGCGTGCATGCTGCGTGTGTGCGGGCGTGCATGCTGCGTGTGTGCGCGCGTGCATGCAGCGTCAGGGCGCGCGTGTATGACAGCAGATCAGGCTCGTCTTTAATTATTTACAAGCATGCCTTTAATTAATTAAATGCGTGTATATAAAGATACATGCATGCTTGTAATTCCAACCAATCAGACAAAGTCTTACAAATAATTAAACGCGTGTATGTAAAGTTACAAGCATGCACGTAATTAATTAAATGCGTGTATGTAATTCCAACCAATCAGACAAAGTCTTACAAATAATTAAACGCGTGTATGTAAAGTTACAAGCATGCACGTAATTCCAACCAATCAGACTCAAGGTGTGGAAACGCCCCCCAAAGATGGCGGCATCGTCTAGTGGACGCTAGGGTCCCGCTAATATATCGATGTATAACTTCATAATTCGTATCCAGATCGACATGACGCTTACTATTTCATGACAGCAGATCAGGCTCGTCTTTAATTATTTACAAGCATGCCTTTAATTAATTAAATGCGTGTATGAGGGGGCGTGTATGTAAAGTTACAAGCATGCACGTAATTAATTAAATGCGTGTACGTAAAGTTACAAGCATGCACGTAATTCCAACCAATCAGACTCAGCATGTGGAAACGCGGGTGGTGCGCGTTGGAATTACGTGCATGCTTGTAACTTTACATACACGCGTTTAATTATTTGTAAGACTTTGTCTGATTGGTTGGAATTACATACACGCATTTAATTAATTACGTGCATGCTTGTAACTTTACATACACGCGTTTAATTATTTGTAAGACTTTGTCTGATTGGTTGGAATTACAAGCATGCATGTATCTTCACATACACGTATTTAATTAATTACGTGCATGCTTGTAACTTGACATACACGCATTTAATTAATTAAAGGCATGCTTATAAATAATTAAAGACGAGCCTGATCTGCTGTCATACGCGTGCGCTCTGCCTAAGTGTGCGCGTGTGTAAACATGCTCGTGCGAGCTGTGTGTGTGTGTGTGTGTGTGTGTGTGTGTGTGTGTGTGTGTGTGTGTGTGTGTGTG